GGGAAAATTAAATTGTATTTGTATTTAACTCACATAGATTGGCATGTGCTCATTCTGCGTGTCACCCTGCCACACTGTCACAAATTTCGAGCGGGGTCCTGAGGGGAGAGGAGGGCCTAGCTCCCGCTCCCACAGGGTCCCCTACATGAACGCAGCCCTGCGCATTCATTCTCTTCCAGAGGGTTGTGATTTGTGGCAGTTTGTGTGAGAGTTACAGATTGTGTCATCTAGTGTTAATTGATAATCTTTGCAAAAGGGACATTGGCTTTAAGAGATTTCTGCAAAAAACTGTCAAAACAAGCATAAATACAAATTTAAAGGGATAAAGCCAGAATAATGAAATATTAATAATAATAATGAAAATATTAGTAATGTAAAACAAGGAAATGTGTCATGTTTTTCATAACTAATATTTTTTAAGTTTCTTTTTTTTTTTTTTAAAGACTGTCTCACTCTGTCACCAGGCTGGAATGCAGTAGTGTGATCTTGGCTCACTGCAACCTCTGCCTCCCAGGTTCACGCAATTCTCATGCCTCAGCCTCCTGAGTAGCTGGGTTTACAGGCATGTACCACCACGCCCAGATAATTTTTGTATTTTTAGTAAAGACAAGGTTTTACCATGTTGACCAGGCTGGTCTCAAATTCCTAACCTCAGGTAATCGGCCGTTTTGGCCTCCCAAAGTGCTGGGATTACAGGCATGTGCCACTGTGTCTGGCCCCGGTTCTTATTATAAGTTCTCCATTAACCGTATCATGAGATTAAAAAAAAAAAACAATGGTTTCGTGAGAACTGACAAACAGTGGATGACACAATTTTGATCATTAAGAAGACTTTAAAAGAAGGATTTGTGTCACTGTCATTACTGATTCCTAGGCCCTTGTGTATACTGAGCCATTAGCTAGGGCTGGTACAATAAAATAACCATAGTTAGAAAGATATTTTAAAGTACTACTTATTTCATGTTTATCTCACCTTTTTATCCCTATTTTTGGGCATGACTTATTATTACTAGGTTTTTAAATAAATAGTGAAATAAGCGTGTTAGGTTTGCATGCTGCTTTGGTTAACATTGCTATATAACCAACCACCCCAAACTTTGTGGCCTTAAAACAATAATTAATTAATTAATTTATTTTTGAGACAGAGTCTCGCTATGTCACCCAGGCTGGAGTGCAGTGGCACAATCTCGGCTCACTGCAACCTCCGCCTCCCAGGTTCAAGTGATTCTCCTGCCTCAGCCTCCTGGAGAGCTGGGATTACAGGTGTTTTGCCACCACACCAGCTAATTTTTGTATTTGTAGTAGACAGGATCTTGCTCCAGCTTTTAATCACCTGGGTGCAGGCGGGTTAAGTCCAAAAAGAGAGTCGGCAAAGGGTGGTGGGATTATAATTAGTTCTTATAGGTTTGGGATAGGCGGTGGAGTTAGGAGCAATTTGTTGTGGGCAGGGGGTGGATCTTACAAAGTACATTCTCAAGGCTGGGGAGAATATTACAAAGTACCTTCTTAAGGGCGGGGGAGGATATTACAAGTACCGTCTCAAGGGTGAGGAGGGTGTATCGTACAAAGTACATTGACAAGGTAGGGGAGTATCACAAAGTACCTTATTGCGAGGGCGGGGAGGGTGTATTGTCACAAAGTCAGTTGATCAGTTAGGGTGGGGCAGGAACAAATCACAATGGTGGAATGTCATCAGTTAAGGCAGGAACTGGCTATTTTCACTTCTTTTGTGGATCTTCAGTTGCTTCAGGTCATCTGGATGTATATGCACAGGTCACAGGGGATATGATGGCTCAGCTTGGGCTCAGAGGCCTGACAGACATGAATTTCCCATCATAAAATTAGAAGAGCATTAATCAAATGATTAGAATAAAATGTTACCATTGTTTTGACATGGCAAGCATTGTATGTAAATAAACAGCAGAGGGAGGCACTGTAGCCTAGACAGGGTTCAGAGATATTCCTGCTAAGGACATGGCACAGGAACTGAGCAAGGAAGGATGACAATGCCTGGGAAAGGCAGGGGAATGTTACAGGTATTTGGGCATCTGTGAGAAGGCCTGATGTCCGAAAGGACTGAAACAAATTAAATGTTTGGTGGGGGAGAGAGAGAACGAGCATAGCAAAAGGTGAGCTGGGGAGTCAGAGGCAGAAGGCAGAATCTGGGATGGGTGGGGAGCTTGCCAATTATCTTGTCAAATGGGTGATGTGAAGCCTTGAAGGTTTTTCGACCAAGAGGAGATGTCTTCAGATTTGCATTTTGAGACATTTTCACGGGTTGTTATGCTAAGAATGGCTTAAAGAGAAGCAAGGCTGGAGTCAGAGGAGCTGCGTGGAAGCTGTTTGGTACTAGGATGGGGATAATGTGGTTGGATAAATGGCAACTGTCAGGGTATTTGGAGCAAGAATGGATAGACATTGGTGATCATCACTTGGATGCATTTGAGGGACACCCCTATGCTTCTCCTAGAGCAACTACACAGAGCAGGAGTAAGCAACTTACAGCCTACAGAGCACATTTGCTCTGTCCCCTGTTTTTCAAATACAGTTTAATGGAAACAGAGCCATGCCCATTCTTTTACCTATCCATGGCTGATATCAGGCATGGTTCTAAGTAATATACATAGGTTTCATATACTAATGCTCATCTATCTCAGTTGACAAACATGAAGTGTTGCTATTATCTCATTTTACAGAGGAGAAAACTGACATACAGAGATTCTCATTCGCACCCATAGCTTCAGTTACCACCTCTATGCCAATGATTCAATAATACCTCCAAATCTAGACCTCTTCCCTGAGCTTCAGATAGGCGGATCCCTCATAGTCAGTCTTGGAGACACTTAAGAACTCATGGGACCCAAACCAGACTTCTCCTTATCCTCTCGAACCACATTCTCTTTCAACATTCCTTTTGTCTTAGTGAATATCACCAAATAGATGAGCAAGTCAGATCCAAGGAGGCCTCCTTAGTACTTCTGTCATCCTTGTCCCACCTTATATCATCCATTTTTTTCTCCCTTTCTTTCTTTTTTCTTTCTTTTCTCTTCTCTTCTCTTTTCTTTTCTGTTCTTTTCTTTCTTTTCTAGATGCGGTCTCACTGTGTCACCCAGGCGAGTGCAGTGGTGTGATCCTGGCCCACTGCAGCGTCAACCTCACCAAGTTCAGGTAATCCTCTCACCTTAATCCCATGAGTAGCTGGGACTACGGGCACACACCACCGCGCCCGGCTAATTTTTGTACTTTCATCAGAGACGGTTTTACCACGTTGCCCAGGCTGCCACCTTATCTCCATTCTTGCTGAAATCTGGCTGTTTCTCTCCACTTCTATTACCAACCACCAGCCAAGTCCAACTTACTAAAAGGATCATCTCGTATATGGGTTCTGTAATAGCTTCTTCCAAATCCATTCCTCACCACCCAGACCAATTTCCAAACTGCAGCCAATACCTTCAATTCTGTCACCACTCTCGCATACTCCACCTAATCCTTAACCTTTCAATGGTTTCTCTTGCCCCTAGGTTAAGCTACATTGAAAACTGCTAAAGCTACAGCTTCTTAAGGTAACTAGTAAGTACAGTGACTACTATGTCTGGTTTATTCCAGCTGTTGCTGACTAATAGCACTTCTTGAATGAAGAAATTATATTACCTTACTGTAGGGAAAAATTTGTACTTCAGTGGAAAACTGAATTGTTTAGAGCAAACTTTTAAGGTTATCTGATTCTGATTCCATGGGCCCTTTCATCGGGTCTTACATCGTTTCATTGTTTTGAGTTATTTTACAGATAACTGATAGAAATGCAAAATAATTATTGCATGTAGCCATGCAAGTAAATTCTGAAGGTCAGGGTTCAGTTAACTTCTCTCTCCTACTGTGGAAGAAGCCAATTTCATTTGCATATTCATTTCAGCATTTCTGACCTATAAACATGCCTGTTCTTTGAACCAGTTTTTATATCTGCCTGGTAACTTCATTAAATGATTTAAATAAACTCTATACTTTAGTTTATTTTATACCTGTATGACAGTCAGGCTTTTACCTTACTTTTGCTTTTTAAAATTATTCTTTAGCTCTCCCCAAGGCACTACTTGACTGGCCCTTTGGCTACTCACTAGCCCAAGCTCCATCCTCTTCTGCCTAAGGCAGCCCCAGGCTCTCTTTTGGTCCTTTGTTCCAGCCCTCCTCGGAGAAGTTCTTTTGTCCTGGAACTCACTTTCATACCAGGTGCTCTTCATCCCTTCTTCCTTTAGTAAATTTCTTTAATCTTTCAGATTTCTGCTCAAGGATCACTTGCTGAAAGCCTTTCCAGGCCTTTCTGAGTCAGTACAATCCATTATTAGAGGCTGTTAGAGCACAGGCAGCATTCGTTATAATTTTACATCTGTCTGTGGGATTCCTTAGCACTTTCTAAGACACTTAACACTTTTCTCTCTGGCTGGGGGCAATGCATGATAACAGGATGATGGTATGCTCTCAATCCTCCCCCAGCAACTAGCCCAGTGCTTCCAACATGGTGGAGAGATACACCGTTTATAGTTTAGACAGATTTTTGAGTAGCAAGTACCTACTGCTCAGGAGACAGGTGGGCTGAAAAAATATATTTGGGAGTCATCAGCACATAGATGCAGCCATGAAAATGCTCAAGAAGCAAAACCATTGGCAGGAACAAAATGAAGGCTATTAGAGACCTTATTTAAGTGGAATAATTGGACAGAAGCCCTTCATAGGAGGAAGGAAATAGAAGCAGTTAATACAGATGGAGGCCAGGCGCAGTGGCTCACGCCTGTAATCCTAGCACTTTGGGAGGCTGAGATGCGTGGGTGGCTTGAGTCCAGGAGTTCGAGACCAGCCTGGGCAATATAGCAAAACCCGGTCTCTACAAAAAATACAAAAATTAGCCCGGCCTGGTGACGGGTGCCTGTAGTCCCAGCTACTCGGGAGGCTTAGGTGGGAGAATTGCTTGAAGCAGGGAGGCAGACAGTTGCAGTAAGCCGAGATCGGGCCACTGCACTCCAGCCTGGGTGACAGAGTGAGACTCAGTCTCAAAACAACAACGACAAAACGTATTTTATAAGCGACCCTGGACTTCCAGGGACACTCACCACTCTATGGTGGCAAGTGACCTGCCTGGACTCTGGTCTTTGGAGCTTGGGACCCCACCCCAGCGTAAGAGGCCTTTTTGTGCCTTGTATAAAGGAGAGGAAAAGTGTAGGTTTTCTGAGTTGATAAGATTAGAGCTACAGTATATTATCAGTGGTGCTGTATGAAACCATTTCAAAAACCAGACCGGATTTAACCGCTTTCACCCAGAATAAACTGCCCTCCCCCTCTTTCCAAGATCAAGTCAGCCCTGGTTACCACTTCCTATTAATTTAAAAACCAGGAAGGCTCATAATTCAGGCTGACGTTGCCCCAGAAGAACACTGTATATAAGACAATAGCTATTCCAATCCCCCTTTCCCTTTCTAAACCGAATAGTATTTCTAACATCACTTTTCCAGTCCTCTTTATATTGAGATCACGAGTCTCCGTCGGAAAACTGTGAAAACAGTATGACTGGAGCTCTTGATGGTCTGCTTTGCCTGAAAACGATGAAAGGCATTGAGATATTTGGGCAGAAACGGCCCTTAGAGAATGCGAGCCTGGTAGCCCCGTAACACCCCGAATTACAAATTCAGTTTGGGTAGGTGGCGCAGGGAAATCTAAAAACTGGATTCACGTTCTCCCCCTTCAGTTTGCACATAGGGGTCGGTGGCAGACAAGAGCAGACGCACAAATGTCAATCCCCGCCCGCAAACTCTCCAGGGCAGAAACTGCTTTTTGTCAGTTGGATTTGGAGTCGATGGAAAAGCTGCCCTAATGTAGTTTCTCCGAGGTTTCCTTAACCTTGACCGAGGGGCGCTTCCCGGCCGTTCACCTAGAGGTTGTTTAATAAACAAGGATGCCCGCGAAGTACCTGCGCTTGGAAAAGCGCTCGTTCGCGGCGCGCAGTCTCGGGCGACCGCAAGCGACCCCAGTGATAGGGACAACCGCTTGGGTATTCGCGACTGCAGACAGACTGGGACCAGACGGTTGGAGGCTCCTCCCCAAGGGATGCTGGAGGGGTTGCGTCGTACCCTGCGCCTGGCCCTGGCGCGCGGCCCCGGGTCGTGGTACCCAGCGCCCTACGGGCCGTGCGCCGGGGCTTGGCCACACCGCCCGCTTTCGTGTCCAGCCGCGCGCTCCGTGCCACCGCCGCTCTCTGCAGCCCCGCGTCCCCGCAGCCTCCCCATGGCCAGCCCGCTTCGCTCCGCTGCGGCCCTTGCCCGCCAGGTACCTCGAACCCGGGCGTTTGAGGAAGGGGGGAGGATTGGAACCTGGGTCTCGGTAGCTCGCGGGCCTGGCCGGGCGCCTTGTCGCCGTTTCCTGCACCATCCTTCTTCGCCTCGCCCTCCATTCCGCCTGCAGCGAGGCGTCTCCTCTTCCCCCCATCCCTTCCCGAAATCTGGAGTCCCAGTCTGCAATCTCCGCCTCGGCGAGGTTCCCGCTGTCCAGGTCTAACACTCTCATGGGTGACCCCCTCCGGAGTGCGGCGAGGACCGCCACGGGAGACGTGAGGGTAGCCATGGACTCGCTCTGAGGGAGGAGGCGGGAGCTGAATCTCTGGGCTGCCACACAGCCACATCCTACGTGCCTTTGCCACCCCAAAATATTTTGACCGCAGCCTTCTGCCTCCTTGGATCTCTTTCTTCCCCACCCCCACCCCCGTAGTTATTTAGCAGATTGGGCATTAAAACAAATGTTTGCAGGTTTTCCCAATTAGTCCCGCTTCCCTGTGTCTTTATCTTTTAAATTGCCCCCTAATACCATGAGGTTTGAGGTGTGGGGTGGGTGCTGCAGCATCGGAGGACCCTGCTGGTGGAGAAAATGGTTCACGCCAGTCCCCTTCCCCTTTGCAGGCTTGCTATTGTGCGTCTGTGATTGACAAGACCACGAGGCTGAGCGCGCCCTGGAGATTTTTCTATAAATGGCTTAACACCCCAGTCTAGACTATTTGCTCGGATATAAGGGAGACAATTGTTTTTTTGTTCTTTGCCGGCGAACCCTGGCTCTGTAGGGCTGACCTGGAATGTAACCAGTCTTCCCTGAGCCGGCGGAGGAGGACAAAAACCGCCGCGACCCCGGCAGGGTGGGAAGTGCAGGGCAGCACTCCCAAGACGCGCGTGTTGGAGGTTCGGGCCTGGGTGCTTGGTTGGTTGAGCCTCCTTTTTGTGTTTGCCTGGGTCCTGGAGAGAAGCGCACGGTATCATGGTGAGTGTCATGTAGGTTACCCCGGGCCCCGTTCACCGACCTGCATTTACTTAATGGTGGTTTAATTCTTCTTTCAGGATTGCAGTAACGGATGCTCCGCAGAAGCAAGCATCAGAGAAGGTACCGGAGAAGGAGGATCAAAAGAGGTGGTGGGGAGTTTTAGGGTAAGTTGCTTGCTAGGGGCTAAGTGTCTAGCGCAACATTCAACTGAATAAATCCATTTCTTGTTGAGATTTGGGGAAATTTTCACTGTGTGGGTTACCCAGTTCCTAGGTTGTGTTGCCAGACATTTAAAATTCCTCTCTTAGAGGAAGAAAAGCTATTTAGAGAGTGACAGTACATTCATCACAACAAAAATTATCTAATAGCTGATTGCTGATTTTATTTTGAGTCATACATTTTTCTTGAAAAATAGTCAATTCGTAAATATTAACCTAGATGTTTATCTGATTCCATACTAAGTACAACCCTTCACTCTACTTGTAGAAAAAGTTAAACTGTGATTTTTCTCTCTCAGCAGCACATAACACTCTACAGTGAAAGTGTTGCATTTTCTTCTTTTCTATCTGAATTCTGGGGTTTATATAGCTCACACTTCAAATAGTGAGAAACAAATAAAGCACGTTGAAAATTGTACAAAACCAAATGTAAGATATAATATTATTTTTTCTATGAGTCATTATCTCCTATCCTCCCTCCTCGTGGAGGTTTTAACTTCTTTTTCTGCCTAGTGCTGCTCTTCTGCCTGTTTGAGTCACTGTCAATTGTCATCCATAGCACAGAGTGTCCTAATGATCTCACATCCTGGCGGTTCAGAGAGGGAAGGAAAATTGACTCATCAATTTCTCACACATTCAGCTCTCTCACAGTGTGCTAGAGACTGTGCCATGCATTGGACATCCAAAAGTGAATTCAAGATTAGGTCTCTAATTGCAAGGAATTTTTATTTTATTTTTCTTTCTTTCTTCTCTTGCTGTCATCTTAGCAAGGATATTTTAAAAAGTAAAATTAGAATATTGCAATTTCTTTTCTGTTTTTTTGAGACAGGGTCTCACTCTGTCACCCAGGCTGGAGTGCAGTGGCGCGATCTCAGCTCACTGCAATCTCTGCCTCCCAGGTTCAAGTGATTCTCCTGCCTCAGCCTCCTGAGTAGCTGAGATTACAGGCATGTGCCATCACACCCGGCTAATTTTGTATTTTTAGTAGAGATGGGGTTTTACCATGTTAGCCAGGCTGGTCTCGAACTCCTGGCCTCATGCAATCCACCTGCCTCAACCTCCCAAAGTGCTGGGATTACAGGCATGAGCCACCAAGCCCAGCCTGAAGAATTCTTTGCAAAGAAAAATATTAACTCAAATATAAATACTCATTTTCTTTCTTTTTCTTTTTTTTTGAGACAGAGTCTTGTTCTGTTGCCCAGACTGGAGTGCAGTGGCACCATCAATTAGGGATCACTTTCGGCCTTGATCTCTCAGACTCAAGTGATCCTCTTAGCCTCTCAAGTACCTGAGACTATAGGCTTGCATGCCACCAGGGCCAACTAATTTTGTCATTTTTTGTAGAGATGAGATCTCCCTGTGTTGCCCAGACTGGTCTCTAACTCCTGGGTTTATGCAGTCTTCCCACCTCGGCCTCCCAAAATGCTGGGTTACAGGCATAAGCCACCAGGCCTGGCCATAAATAATGTTTTTATTGTTAATTTAGATTTCTGTATATTAGGTTTTAGTTAGGGGAATTGCCCGTTGACACTCATGTATTTACACATCAAAACATGAGTTATGGTGGATGTATTCACAGCACATATGTAATAAGGCATGTGTAAAAATGATAGTGATAATTTAGGGAAGAAAAATGGTAGATTTTGTAGACCATCTTGGTTTTTGATATACTTTTCTCTTTTTTTTGATTGATACATAATGTGTGTACATAATGTGTGGCACACCCCTGTAATCCCAGCACTTTGGGAGGCCAAGGCGGGTGGATCACTTGATGTCAGGAATTTGAGAACAGCCTGACTGACATGGCAAAACCCCGTCTCTACTAAAAATGCAAAATTAGCCGGGTGTGGTGGTGCACATCTGTCATCCCAGCTACTCAGGAGGCTGAGGCAGGAGAATTGCTTGAGTCTGGGAGGCAGAGGTTGCAGTGAACCAAGATCACGCCACTGCACCCCAACCTGGGTGACAGAACAAGACTCTGTCTCAAAAAAAAAAAATAAATAATATATATATATACACACACACACATACACACACACATATATACACATATATATACATATATATAGAGAGAGCCCACATTGTCGTTAACTATAATCACCCTACTCTGCTGTGAACAGTAGAATTTATTGTTTGTATCTAACTGCATGTTTGTACTCACTAACCAACCTCTCTCCCTCCACCTACACCCTCCCCACCCCATGCCATCTTCTGATATCTATCATTCTATTAATACTGTCTACCTCCATGAGATCAACTTTTTTTACTTCTCACATATGAGCGAGAACATGCAATATTTGTTTTTCTGTTTTTTTTTTTTCTTTCTGTGTTTGGCTTATTTTACTTACCATAATGACTTCCAGTTCCATCCACATTGCTACAAATGACACAATTTTACTCTTTTTTAAATGGCTGGATAATATTCCATTGTGTATATGTACCACATTTTATTTGTTTGTTGACGGACACTTAAGTCGATTCCACATCTTGACTATTGTGAATAGTGCTGTAATAAACATGGGAGTGCAGATATCCCTTTGGTATATTGATTTCCTTTCCTTTGGAGAATATCCGGTAGTAGGATTGTTGGTTCATATGGTCATTCTACTTTTAGTTTGTTTTTTTTTTTTTGGAAAACTTCATACCATTTTCCATAGTAGATATACTGATTTACATTCTTACCAACAGTGTATAAGAGTTCTCTTTTCTCTGTGTCCTCATCAGTATCTGCTATTTTTTGTCTTTCTAATAATAGCCATTCTAACTGTGGTTGCTTTTGACAGATTTTTCTACCTTTTTGTTAATCTACATCATTTATAACATTTCATATTTCATATTGCCTTTTGGTTCTCTCTTGGGTAGCTTTCATATTGCTTCTCCCCTCCCCAATTATGATGCAGTTATATTACAATGAGGATGCAGGTTTGCAGCAGGGCCTAGCAATGAGATACGTTGTTACACATCCTGGCGAATCTTTCTGTGGACTCTAGGATCCTCCTCCTTTGAAAGAGGTCAGCCATCTTTTTTTTCCAGTTCCTCCAGCTTCACGTATCTCCACAGAATGCAACACTGCAAATCGGTAGTTCTCTTCATGATCATCTTTATTAGATTTTAAAAGAATATCTCTAAAAGATGAGCATGGTGCCTAAGGCTTTCCAAATGGAGTAAGAATAATACATAGGAACCTAGAATAAAGTTATGAAATGTCCGATACAGTTGTAATGCAGACTTTTGAAAAGTGTGGCCAATGAAGAGAAGAGCAAATGTGCTATACGATGGTGAGCAAAAGGTGTTGACAGGCCGGGCGTGGTGACTCACCCCTGTAATCCCAGCACTTTGGGAGGCTGAGGCGGGTGGATCATTTGAGGTCAGGAGTTTGAGACCAGCCTGGCCAACATGGTGAAACCCCGTCTCTACCCAAAATACAAAAATTAGCGGAGTGTGGTGGCATATGCCTGTAGTCCCAGCTGCTTGGGAGGCTGAAGCAGGACAATCACTTGAACCTGGGAGGCGGAGGTTGCAGGGTTGCAGTGAGCTGAGATTGCACCACTGTACTCTAGCCTGGGCAACGGAGCAAAAAAAAAAAAAAGTGTTGACTGAACCCTGGCTGAAACAGTTCTCAGGTGCTTTCAACAAATTTACACTTCCCTACCCTGAGCCTCCCTATTTCAGAACAAATGATTACCCAACTGCAAACTTCAAATTAGGAAGTTGTTTTTTATATGCCCTGTTTTTGTCCTTATTTCTTGCCATTTCACAATCAGTTATTGTGGCATTCCAGATTCTTCCACAAACATATGATGTGAAACATCCTGACTTCGATGTCATCAGGGAATGTGGAGCATGGGAAAGAGACAGATTAATTATGCAGAAGAAAGTATCATTTGACAAAATATTTTTATTTATCTTTGGAAAGGAAATCTAGAAAAAGAAAATAGTTTTTAAAGAACACGGATAAAAATTGTTTATAAAATTTGTTTCCTTTAGGAAAGGAATCGTTCCCTTAAAACTACATTTCATATCTGCCCCAAACGAGTCACACATCTTCAGCTAATATTGCTTGCTTACGTTTGACCTTTATTCAACTCTATCACCTAGTAATTTAGTATTCCTAGGTAATTTCTCTTTGAGCTCAGGTTAGAAGTTGTTATTTTTAGTTTCCAGAGTTGCAGAATTTTTTTTTTCAAATAGAGGGAAGTTCATGATGAGATTTTGAAGCC